CTCCTAAAATACAAACAATTTATTATTGATCAATTAAGATTTTTAATATTTATCTTAACCCTTTCACTGCCATAGGGATGGCATATGCCTTCCCTATTATTTTCAGCGTATTTGCCATATGGACGGCTTTTGCCATTTCTATAATAATTATAATAATAATAATTATAATAATAATAATAATAATAAATATAAAGATAATTATACCATCGACAATAATTATTATACACTAGAAAATTTGGAAACATATATAATTATTATAATACTAATAACAAATAATAATAATTACATACATGTGAACTTTTTTCAATGATCAAGTGGGAGATTTTTCATCAAAAAGAGGGAGATTTTAGAATTTGCAATAAACAAAGAAGGAAGTTCTGACATCAAAAATAGGGAGATTTCTTTATTTTGTGAAAATACCCCTTATTTTAAGAAAAAAAAATTGAAAATATGGCTGAAAAAAGTGGGAGTCTCCCGCCTAAAGTGGGAGGGTTCACATGTATGTAATTATATTAATTAATAATATATTAATTTCTTACAAAACCTTCTGGCAAATAGGTAATCAATAAATAAATAACCCTCTGGCAGCGAAAGGGTTAAAGACTAACAGCATAATTATGACAATATATAATTTCCTTGTTTTTAACCAGAAAAAGCAGACAATATGTACAACAAGACTTGGTACTGATCATTTGAATGAAATTGCACCAGATGTTTCTGAAGATTAGTCTGTACACTTTTTTGTGACAGACAGACAGACAGACAGACAGACAGACAACAGAGAAGTGATCCCTATACGCTGCCGCTTCTTAGCAGTAGGCATTTAAGGTTATTCCGGGTAATATCCAGACTTATATATTGATAAAGATATTTGGTTGGTAAAATATGCAAAAAAAACAACTTGTTACATATTCAGTTAAAAGTTTGTTATAACCAGTAACAGGAGAACTTACTTTTCAAAGCAAAGAAGCTTCTTGAACGGGGAGCTAGTTTCTGTAATAGGTTTTGACAGCCAGCATGAGAAGAGAGCTCGTAAGTCCAATTCTTTGTCCATTGATAATTTCATTACGTTAATCCCTAGGTGTTTTTTAAGTGACCCAAGAACTGTACCAGACATAGGTGCATAATCACCTGTAAGATAATTTTATAAGCAAAAGATAATAATCTGTAAATAAAGCCCATATCATTCATTACAGCTTCATGCTCAAACAATAAATACATCAATATCACAATTCAGAATCAAGGTTTAATATTATATAATTACTTATAGGCTGCTTGCCCATACAAAAATAAGAATACATAAACATTATTACAGGAAGATGATACAAAATTGACAATACACCTACTGACAATATACAAAATAATAATTAGCACATTAATATCTTTTATCATTTCAAATTCGTTTTAAACCTCCACATGTATTTATGGTAGGTGAATTATAAATGTAATAAACAAAAATGTTAGCAAAATATATTGTAAAAAATTGAAGATGAAAAATTGTTTTTCACTTATACATGTATGTTTACAAAATAAACAAAATAAACAAAATAATCAGGAAATTATCATATCTCAGCATTCTCATAACATCTGCTCAGCCATATTATGAGCAGTGTCATGTCAAAACCAACATAGTGTGTTTGCAACCAGCATGGATCAGGATCGGCATGCTGTTCACTATCAGCTTATCTACTTGTAAAAGGGTTGGTAAGCAAATAGCATGGATCCTGATCAGACTGAACAGGCTGGTCTGAATTCATGCTGGTCGCAAACGCATCACGTTGGTTTTTTCATGACGCGGCTCATATGCTTATGTAACGACGCTGGTAGAACGTCATAATACCCATAATGAGCATTATAATATACGAAAAACTAAAGGTGATTCACATAAAAAAAGATCCAATATATAAGGGCATAAACCACTCTCGGTCATGAGCTAGCTTTTCACCGACAGGGTTTGTGTGCCTTCAAAACATTACATTTGGCCACCATTTGTAACGTTTTTAAGGCACACAAACCCTGTCAGTGAAAAGTAAGCTTTGTAAGGTTTGTGTGCCTTAAAAATGTTACAAACGGTGGCCAGTGTAGGGGATGTAGACAACTGCCGGACTGGAGTTGTCGTACCCACAGATTTCCCAGGCCAAGTCTAGGGACAAGAGTCTTCTCAGAGGGGAAAGTAATGTAACAGCGTTGGAAGAACATCATAATGAGCATGATAATATGCGAATACTTCAGTTGTTGAATTAACATAAGGGAATAGTTCCCGTATATAAGGACACAAACCACTCTCAGTGGGTAGATAGCTTTTCACCGATAGGGTTTGCGTGCCTTAAAACGTTACACTTATTAGCATGCAGGATAATATGACATCCAGTATACTAATTACCTTTTAAACATTAACAAAATCTTACTCACGAACTGTCTAACTATTTCATTGGGAAACAATATAGTTTTATCAATTGTCTGTAAAGGGTGTCACCTTACATTATAATTGTTACAGGTTCCTGCAAAATTTCCATGGTCAATGAGGGGGCTAACCTGGTGTGTAAGAACTATATATTTTGCATTTAATGTCCAGTGACAACATTTTTTTTCGATAACGATATAAAATACAAATACATTTAAGGGCTTCAAACAAATATCACTCATTGTAAATGTGAAATAAAATTTTTTATCTGTGACTTAACCATTTTTAAGGTTTCTGACGCAAGTAAAACATACCAGTAAATGCAGAGACCATGACAATATCCACCATGTCATCTTTTGATAACTGTGTTATATCTCCAGACAACAACTCAATCTGAGATGGTCCATTCCTTGTCCACAGCTCTATTACATCTTCTGGTCGGCCCTGGAGACCAGACATTGTTTCCCACTACCACTGTTGCTAAATTCTATCATCAAAAATAGTTTCATGTTACATCATATGGAACGCCATAACTGCCTTATATTTACTTTTATCAAGTTGTGATGTCCTTTGGATAAATGATGATGTCGTTTCTATAGATGGTGCTATGGTTTTGATAGATGGTGATGTTATTTTCATATATGGTGATGTCGTTCAAATAGATGGTGATGTAATTTAGATATATGGTGCAGTCATGTTAAAAGACGGTGCTGTGAATTTGATAAATGGTTATCTCGTTTTGTAAGATGGTGCTGTGGTTTTTATAGAAGGTGCTGTTATTTTGATAAATGGTTATGTCGTTTTGTTAGATGGTGCTGTCGATTTGATAAATGGTTAGGTCGTTCTTTTAGTTGATGCTATGGTTGTTATAGATGATGCTGTAATTTTGATAAATGGTTATGTCGTTTTGTTAGATGGTGCTTTGGTTGTTATATATGGTGCTGTTATTTTGATAAATGGTTATCTCCTTTTGTTAGATGGTGCTGTGGTTGTTATAGATAGTGCTGTAATTTTGATAAATGGTTATGTCGTTTTGTTAGATGGTGCTGTGGTTGTTATAGATGGTGCTGTTATTTTGATAAATGGTTATGTCGTTTTGTTAGATGGTGCTGTGGTTGTTATAGATGGTGCTGTAATTTTGATAAATGGTTATGTCGATTTGTTAGATGGTGCTGTAATTTTGATAAATGGTTATGTCGTTTTGTTAGATGGTGCTGTGGTTGTTATAGATGGTGCTGTAATTTTGATAAATGGTTATGTTGATTTGTTAGATTGTGCTGTAATTTTGATAAATGGTTATCTCGTTTTGTTAGATGGTGCTGTGGTTGTTATAGATGGTGCTGTAATTTTGATAAATGGTTATGTTGATTTGTTAGATTGTGCTGTAATTTTGATAAATGGTTATGTCGTTTTGTTAGATGGTGCTGCCGATTTGATAAATGGTTAGGTCGTTCTTTTAGTTGATGCTATGGTTGTTATAGATGGTGCTGTAATTTTTATAAATGGTTATGTCGTTTTGCAAGATGGTGCTGTGGATTTGATAAATTGTTAGGTCGTTCTTTTAGTTGATGCAATGGTTGTTACAGATGGTGCAGTAATTTTGATTAATGGTTATGTCGTTTTGTAAGATGGTCCTGTGGTATTTACATATGGTACTGTAATTTTGATAAATGGTTATGTCGTTTTGTTAGATGGTGCTGTAATTTTGATAAATGATTATGTCGATTTGTTAGATGGTGCTGTAATTTTTCTAAATGGTTATGTCGTTTCAATAGACCGTGCTATTGATATGAGAAATGGTGAGATGGTTTTAATCAATAGTTCTGTGTTTTTGATAAATGGTAATGTCGTTTTGAAATGTTGTTATGCCATTTGGTATATGGTTATACTGTTTTGATATATGGTGTTGTCATTTTATACATGGTGCTGTGATTTTTGTACATGGTGATGTCTTTCTGAACTGTGGAGATGGTCATTTACTTATTTCTGAGAAAAATATGGCGAAACCTCCTTTAGCCCTTTACCTCATATAGACGTGTTTGACGGCTTGTAGACCCCTCCCCTTTTTGAGGCCTTAAACAGTGAAAAAATGCCCTATTTAGGCCCTAGACACTGTTTTTCGTTTGAGAAATGTTGTTAAAAAAGTGACCATTTTTTCTGCGCCGCCCCCATCAAAATAGTACATAAAGGGGACGTGCCCTCTTCTGTTTTTTTTTTTTTGGGGGGGGGGGGGGGGGGGGGGGGTTGAAGTAGGCAACAGTCGCCCTCATCGCCAAGAAAATTTTGGACATGTGACAGGCTAAAAATAGCCTTAGGTAACGTGTAACCAACGCTGAAAAGCCTTTTGCTCCAAAATTTAAAAATAGAACATCACCATATATCAAAATAGTATCACCATTTATAAAAATAACAGCACCATATATAAAATGACACTACCAGGTACCAAAGTGACACCACCATATATCAAACCGACATCACCATTTATCATTACCACAGCACCATTTATCAAAACAACAGCGCCATATACATACTTACACTACCATTTATCAAAACAACAGCACCATTTACTTAAACTACAGCACCATCTGTCAAAACGACATTACCATTTATCAAAACCACAGCACCATTTACTTAAACTACAACAGAATCTGTCAAAACAACATAACCATTTATAAAAACCACAGCACCACTTATTAAATCCACAACACCATTTATTCAAACTACAGCACCATCTGTCAAAACGACATAACCATTTATAAAAACCACAGCACCACTTATTAAATCCACAGCACCATTTATTTAAACTACAGCACCATCTTTCAAAACGACTCAACCATTTATCAAAACCACAGCACAACTTATTAAGTCCACAACACCATTTATTCAAACTACAGCACCATCTGTCAAAACGACATAACCATTTATAAAAACCACAGCACCATTTATTAAATCCACAGCACCATTTATTTTAACTACAGCACCATCTTTCAAAACGACATAACCATTTATCAAAACCACAGCACAACTTATTAAGTCCACAACACCATTTATTCAAACTACAGCACCATCTGTCAAAACGACATTACCATTTATAAAAACCACAGGACCGTTTATTAAATCCACAGCACCATCGGTCAAAACGACATAACCATTTATCAAAACCACAGCACCATTTATTAAATCCACAGCACCATCTGTCAAAACGACATAACCATTTATCAAAACCACAGCACCATTTATTAAATCCACAGCATCATCTGTCAAAACGACATAACCATTTATCAAAACCACAGCTCCATTTAATCCACATCACCATTTATATTAACTACAGCACCATCTTTCAAAACGACATAACCATTTTAAAAAACCTCAGGACAATTTATTTAAACTACAGGACCATCTATTACAACGACATCACATTTATTAAAACCACATAACCATTTATGAGAACCACACCACTATCTGTCAAAAGGACATGACCACTTTGGAAGTGTCTATATAAGGCAGCTATGGCGTTCCATAACATCACATGTAAACCTTTATATACATGTATGCTTAATTTAAGTTCATAAAATGTAGACATTCTAAACAATTTATCAAAATAAAGTACAACAGTTGAAATCTATAAACTACCAGGGTCCTAAGATAGTGAGCAGCCAGGGATCCTGGAAGGCTTTAAGCATTCTAAATCTATTAAGCAACAGAATGTCACCCTGCCGCATTATCATCCATAATAGTTATCAGCCTAAAACAATGAAATTACTTTCTCAAAATAGTTAAGATACCAATTGTAAACTGAATATGAGCTATGCTACCATTAACCCCATGTTACTTAGCGCCAAATGTCACAATAGGAACAAATGTGCAATGTGGACTCGTACCTGGAACCCTAGGAATAAAGCTTTGCAATTCTTCTTTTGCAGTTGTACTGGAAGCATCTAGCATGCGACGCAATGAACTGGTGAATCTGAAATGTTACAGATAAAAGTTGAAAAAAAAATCCTGTTAAGTTTTTTAAGTAAATGTTGCTAAAAGTAAAGTTTCAGTGAGTGTTATTTTGTATATGGCTCTTTAATTGTTTAACTGAATTTTTTTTTTATTATTTCTTAAAATAATTGTTTAAACCAGCGTCTTTCAAATAGAATAATTGAATTAGATATCTCATTGCAATCACGCTAGGTCACTGACAATACTGTTTACTATGTTTTTTAATTAAAACAAAAGAGATTATTCTTTAAAAAAATTGGTCATATATCTAAATGCTATTGCAATGACACCAAATATTAATATAATGTTTTATTACCACCCATTAATAAAAAAATTTACAGAAAGATGTAGGGGCATAATTGTCATGTAATTAAGAGTCGTCAAGACATCAAGCCAGGGCTTTTTCCTTCTGTAGTAGGGGCCGTTATAGGGCTGCTTCGGCAAAGAAAAATTCTCTAAACTCATGCAGTTTTCCCCAAAAATTGAATTGAAGTTTTTTCTTCCCCATTTGCAAATTTACTGTGTAATTTTTCACCAAAATTATGGGCAAGGCTGCTTCCCCAACCTGTGAAATAAAGCCCTGCAAGCAGCAAACTAAAGTACTTAAGTATACAAGTCATCTAAAACAACTTTATTTTTGCTTATTTTGAATTTTTGTGAAGAAATAAAACTATTATACAAATAATTGAAATGTGATTCCAAACATCACATAAACTACATGTACAGACTTCCTCACAGTTGAAAACAAGTGTCAGACATTTGGTCTGACAAACCATGAAAATCTGTCAAACCAAATGAAATCTGTCAGACCGAATGAGATTAATCAAAGTCAAAGGAAAACTTGTGTTTGTATTTCTAAGACACTTTCGGTTTTAATTTTTTTGCCGTAAAAATCAGCTCATTTGGTACAGCGCATTTTCACCTCCTCCCTGTCATACACAAACAATTCACGGTCCTGCTTCCATTTTTCATGAAATTTTGTCTCGGGTCTATTCTAATTTCTTTTTATCCTTTTACTGCTGTTCTGCCCACTCCACTGACATAGATTTTCACTTTTTCCCAGGTTTGGCACCTTAAACAATGCCATTTTGTATACATGCTACTTGGACAAAAGTGGGATGGTCCAACTGATCTGGAATAAATCGTCGTTGGACCTAATCAAAATTAATCTGACACGTCCGTCTGACCAACATATTTCTGGAAGTCTGCATGTTATGATCTATTGGTTAACATGTATGACAGTTATTGACTAGAGTTCATATTCAAGTTATAGCGAGCTCGAAGAGCTGGCTTGAAGGGCCTGCTTGCAAAGCGAGGTTTAGGGTAATGCAAGAACCGGCTAGATAGTGATGGTTTTCCGAAATACCGAATTGACATAAGTCATAGCAACTTTTCGAATTACAAGATAAAGATAAAAGCTGAGGTATTTTGATTGAAAACAGAAGTATTGACTGATGTCCTGCGCACTTATATGGCAACCATAATATGACAGGGAACCAGAATTGAAGCAGTGTATAAAATACCGAATGACAATTTGAAAACAGAAAATGTCAAATAAAATTGAGCGATTATTTTATATTATTCATGGTAAAAGAAAATCGAACTCGCTTTTAGGCTTTGCCCTTTTCATATTATTAATTCTGTAAGGAAAATACATAAATGAAATACTGGCATGCGAGCAGTTCCCGTACAGAAGCAGTACCCGTATTTTTCGTTTAAACGCTTGATTTTTACTTTCATTCTTCAAAAATTAATATCAAATCAAGCAGATGCATAAACGAGACAAAATCTAAGTGTCAGTTCGGCAGTACATATAAAAAGTTTTCATTTTAAATCACTTTCACCTGTGCGTTGTCAAAACGTGACCTTGTTAACTTTGGGGGATTCCGTTTAAGCGCGCATGCGCAACAATACTTACATGTGAGGCCTATTACAGGGTTTTCCGCTTATACCGCCTGCATACAGATAAGTAGGCAATGCGACATAAACCTGATTAATTATCAGAATTTTGACCTATATTACTATATTAAATAATTTTATGGCTTTAATGAGTAAAATATCACGCATACAAGCACGTCATTGCATGTGTTTGCGTTGGGGTACCGGGTAATACATGGTCTTTGTTTAATCTTCATTCTTTATCCTGAATTGTATTTATCTTCCTCGGGGAAAATGATCTCTTCAACAATCATAAATGAAAAATGGGTCTGATATAACAACATTGTAAAAGTATAATGGGTTTTATTTTATGTACGGGAACTACTTCTCATAACTAAGGGTTATTCTATGTTTAGAACATAATGGAATTTCCATAATTTGTGTGAGGAGCTGAATTTTGATGCCTAACATTCAATTTTTTGATGAGTGAGCGTAATAAAATATAATTTTTAAGTAACTATGATTTTTGTACGGAAACTGCTCGCATGCCAGTAGATTGATATAACTCAATCGGAAATAGCTGTATTAAAAAGGGACTCCACTGAGGTTTTTTGACATGATGGGACTGAAAATGTTTTTTCCAGATAAATGTACCATTTGATGTATGTTTAGACCACTAATCTTTGTGCAAAATGTCTGATCCTCTCGCACTTCGTTTATAGATTCTAATTATTCAAATTGTAAAAAAATGACCCAAATTGAAAAGTGTGCCTTTCACTCAAATTGGGCTGAAAAAAGCATTGAAATACGATTTTTAATTTATTTCAAATTATATCTTTGCTTACATTTCTGTATGAAGTGCCCCAGCGGGCCAGCTCATATATCATTATATGTAAGAGATTCAAATGTTATGCTTTTTGTTGTTTACCTTGAATACGGCGCGAAATAAAAAGTTTACAATGTAATTTCTTACACGACCAAAGACGACTAAATTTGTAGTAACACAGGTTGAAGACAACTAATAATAACCATAGTGTACTGAACGTTTGCATTGTATACGCACCGGTCTCAAATATCGACAGTAAGACCGGTGTACACAATGGAACGTTTGTGACAGTTGCCTTTCAGTGGATAAACATGACATTTATATAATTCTATCCTGGGCAGGTTATGGCCATATATTATGAGCATATATGAGGGCTTTCCATACTGAACATTATGTAAGACGTCGTGCATTCCTGGGCGACCATGCAATAAAATTGCATGATATAATGTGCTCCACGCTCAAATGCCATTATTATATTATGTGACATTAATATGTCATTGTTTCACTTTTTCAAAATATCCCCTCTGTGAGGAATACCAGAGACATAAAAACATGTTATCTATGTCTCTGGGAATACACTTTTGTTGTTACCTTCTTATTTGCGGCCTTCACAAAAAATTAGAAGATCTCCATAATTCTCAGCCCACTTTTACAATCTAAAATTGAGATATTGCTAATTGTTTGATGTCTGAGTGCCTGCATTAAAAACAATGTTAAAATTTTCTTCACTGTTCATGATCAAATAACCCAAAACATCCCATTTTTGCTTTATTTGTGTCACAGATTGAAATTAAATGGTAATGACAGCCGTGGCTTTCCATAGTTAGTTTAAGCGGAAACATCGTGCACGCGCGTTTTTATTCAGTTGCGCCTATATATTTAACTTCCGGAATTGAATCGGTGAAAATCGACAATTTTCGTCAATGATGTACAAGTCGATCTCACTTGTGCAATATCGTGAACACTGATCACTTGTTCTTTGTTGTACTTGTCCGATTGTTTTGTTTGTTGTATATGTTTCTATATGAGAGAGATATCCATTGGTTCTTTTAAATATTCTTTACTTCTGCGCACTGTTTGCTTTTCCTGTCCCGCTCACTCTTTACAGTCATCTCTTACGCGTCAGACGTTTAGTAAAACTAGTTATATAATTTTACATTAGATCTACATTTAATTTAATTACTTCAATTTATATTGAAATACTTTAATTATACCCCCGCACAACAAAGTTGTAAGGGGGGTATACTGGAATCAGCTTGTCCGTCCGTCCGTCCGTCCGTCCGTCCGGCTGTCCGGCCGTCCGGCCGTCCGTCGGTTTTTTCTTGTCCGCCCAATAACTTAAGATTCCTTTGACCCTTAGTCTTCATATTTGGCATGGAGGTTAGTCATGATTAGTAGATGACCCCTATTGATTTTGAGGTCACTAGGTCAAAGGTCAAGGTCACAGGGGCCTTGACTTCAAAAAGCTTGTCCGCCCAATAACTTAAGATTCCTTTGACCTACAGTCGTCATATTTGGCATGGAGGTTAGTCATGATTAGTAGATGACCCCTATTGATTTTGAGGTCACCAGGTCAAAGGTCAAGGTCACAGGGGCCTTGACTTCAAAAAGCTTGTCCGCCCAATAACTTAAGATTCCTTTGACCCTTAGTCTTCATATTTGGCATGGAGGTTAGTCATGATTAGTAGATGACCCCTATTGATTTTGAGGTCACTAGGTCAAAGGTCAAGGTCACAGGGGCCTTGACTTCAAAAAGCTTGTCCGCCCAATAACTTAAGATTCCTTTGACCTACAGTCGTCATATTTGGCATGGAGGTTAGTCATGATTAGTAGATGACCCCTATTGATTTGAGGTCACCAGGTCAAAGGTCAAGGTCACAGGGCCTTGACTTCAAAAAGCTTGTCCGCCCAATAACTTAAGATTCCTTTGACCCTTAGTCTTCATATTTGGCATGGAGGTTAGTCATGATTAGTAGATGACCCCTATTGATTTTGAGGTCACTAGGTCAAAGGTCAAGGTCACAGGGGCCTTGACTTCAAAAAGCTTGTCCGCCCAATAACTTAAGAATCCTTTGACCTACAGTCGTCATATTTGGCATGGAGGTTAGTCATGATTAGTAGATGACCCCTATTGATTTTGAGGTCACCAGGTCAAAGGTCAAGGTCACAGGGGCCTTGACTTCAAAAAGCTTGTCCGCCCAATAACTTAAGATTCCTTTGACCCTTAGTCTTCATATTTGGCATGGAGGTTAGTCATGATTAGTAGATGA